GACTTGAAAACATATGCACGGGATCTTCTTAACACAGACCAATGTCTTCTAAGGTCTTTACAAGTCTTTTAAATAACCAAAAAAGGTATACGCTTTATTTTTTTCTTTTCTCTCGACGCCTCCAACATCCACCAACCCCTCCCTCCACCGATCTTCTTCAACCTTGTGTCTCCTCGTGTTGCTGCTTTCCATACCAAAATCGTCATCTTTCTCCTGACCCATTGCACCACCAAACACACTTCAAAGTAGCACCAAATTTTCCTTTGAAAACGAAAACAGGTTTTCTTGTTCTAATATAAAATTGATTGTTATTTTTGCTGAAAAACTCTCTATTAGCTTTTAGATCTTGTTGGAAAACTGAAAACATTGCTAAAACTAGTCATTATTACTTAAATTTCTTGTTGAACATTACAAAAAATCAATATATATTTTGATGTATCTTGCTAGAACCCATAACATTGCTGATGCCAGGTTTGGGTAAATGGCTTCAACAATCAGATTAGGTTATGAAATCACTAATAAATCAGGTTACGTTCTTGTTTTGGATGTTTTTTTTTTGTTGGAATCATTTTGGTTTTCAAAAATCACATAAACATCGTCCACCAAATGTTTGATAAAATGTTTAATAGAGACATTACATCTTGGAAGACATTGTTTTATTGTTTATAGTTCAATTTAACATAATGAAGACTTAAATTTACAACCTTTTACAGGTAGATGGCACCAAATATGTTGAGAAACATGGAAATTTGAATAAGATGACAATGGTGGCAATAATTGGAGTGTGTGTGACTTTCATGTTCAAGAGTTCACCTCAGGTTATCAACGGTTATGATTGGAAAATTTTATTTGTAATATGTATATGTTTGTATTGATGTTATTCCTTATGATTCCATATCAATTTAAAGCATAAGCCAGCGGTTTAAATCCGATAAGGTGCTTTGTATTTTTTTCAATCATAATATTCATATTTGAAATAAGAATAGCGATATTATTTATAGTAATAAACAAAAAGTAACCAACTGTATAATATTATCGCTTTGGAATAAAAAGAGATACGTGTTGCATGTATGATATTTTTTTAACCATATTATTTTTGTTTATCTTACAAAGACAATGATATATTTTTATTCGATAAATTTGAAAGTGATTTATTAATATTGAAATCTAACTATATGATTATAGATTAAATGAACTAGAATAAAATTTTGAAAAACTCTTGAGTCTAAAAAATCAATTCATTTAAACTTTATTTTATTTTAGCAGTCTGTAGATTTTAAAAAAAAAAAAACAATTTTCTTCTTACAGACTGCAGACATTTGTTTCACCTTTTTTTTCTACAGATGTAGTTCGCAGACTGCAGACATTTTACATCTTAAAAAACAAACACCTTAGTGTCAAATCGACTCTTAATTAATGAGATTTTTTCAAACAAAAAATGTGTTAGATGTAATCGTACTTATCACAACATATCGTTATAATAACTTCCATATTGTTTGTTGTTCTAAATTTTAATTTTTCTAACATATATTTATATATCCACACACGAAATCCTCTAAAACGTTTAAAATATTGTTAGTGTTTTGTGATGAATATTTTATGTGGGCATAAACAGGTTGATGTTGATCGTTTACATGATGAGGTTTTTTCGGTTTCTCAACTTTTTAAATGTCTTATAGGAGTCATTGAAAGCATGTATTTCCAATAAATATTTATCTTTTAAAATATTATTTATTTATTTATTTTTGAACAACAAAATTTATTAAAAAGTGACCATTAGGGAGCTGGACCATGAAAGAGTACAGGAAATTAAAAAAAAAAAAAAAAACCAAAAAAAAAAAACATAGATCAGAAAGACAGCACACATATTGCTTCACAAATATATATCTAAAATTTTCCTATTTCTCACATAGAATATTTTGGAAAAAATGACCAGTGGATATAACCAACTATCATTTTTGTTAGTCACTTTTTTGTACATTCTTTACAAGTATTGAATTTGTTTTTGATGTTTACAAAATACCATTATGACATGTTGTAAAAAGTTTCCTGCAACTTTGGCATCTCTGGCGACACTCAGGCCACCTTCTCGTGTGAGTTATTGGTTCTTCAAGTTCAAGTTGTTCATTAGCTTCGATTTTCGATTTCTAAGGCATCTTCGAGTTCATGTTCATCAGCTTTGATTTTCGATTTCCAGGGCTTTTGAAGTTGTTCCAAGAATAAGAACACGAATCAAGGTTTTCGATTTCAGGTTGCATTCCATGAACATGAACCTAGGGTTTCTTGAATCGTTCAAAATTAAGGGTTTAATTTTCAATTTTCTAGGGTTTCTGAGATCGTTCAAAGAACAAGAACGAACCAAGAACCCATAGATTTCCATATTCGATTTTAGGGTTTCTAAACCGTTCATGCTAATGTTTGATTTTCGATATTTGATCTTAGAACCCCACCAATTTCTTGTATGTTTTTCATGTAGTCATGTTATCTTTTTCGGCTCGATCTAATGTTGGAATGAAGTTCAGATTTCAGCAAACATGAAACATATGTTTAAGTAATTCATAGTGTTCATAGTCTGAATATTCATATATTCTCTAGAAAATTTATATATTAAGCGGAAAATTCATCTTGACCGGCTACACCTACAAAAGATGGTCATAATGATAATTTGTGAACATAAAAACAAGTTCAATTGTAAATAAGATACCAAAAAATAAAATATATAAACAAAAATCATAGTTCATTACCATCCAACATCATTTTCCCTAAGGGTGACAAATCGTGCTATCGTTTCGTGTTTCTGTCTGACACAACATGACACGACAAAGTTTTATTTAACACGAACACGACATGACACGATGCCGTATTTTTTTAACTAACACGAAAACGAACGAATTAAAAAACGAAAAACACGACACGACACGACAAACATAACATATACTAAAAACTAGTTTATTTAATGAATACTTTATCAAATATAACACGAAAAACACGATAAAGAACTACTAAATTGTGTCAATTTCGTGTCAGATTTTGAACACGAACACGCCACGACATCATGTTTTTTACAGTTAACACGAACACGAATTCAAATTTTAGTTTCGTTTCGTTTCGTGTATTTTTGTCATGTCGTGTCATAAATTACCACCCATAATTTTCCCTATTTATTTACCCATTTGTTTATTTTATTTTCTAACTAGGTGTGAAACCCGTATGTTATACAGGATTAATAAAACAAAAAATTAAATATGAAAGTTTTAAAAAAAATATTTAAATTTGAAATTTTAGATTTGAAATTTAAAATATAAAATTTGAATTTAAAAAGAAATATATTAAATACTATATGAGTACTAATATTGTAATTTATTAGTTATTTTCAATTAAGACAATTATTAATTGAGGTGTAAATATAATTGTTAATTAATAAAAGATAAAAAAAATAGAAAATAACAAATGGAAAAAACATTTAATCAAAAATACCAAAAAATAACATGTGTCCAAATTAATGAGAGGGTGACATGTAACAAAATTATTTTCATTTATTAGAGAGGATATGATAACTTTATTGTTTTCAAAGTTCAAAAAATTTTGGTTCAAAGTATTTATCTTTTACCATTTTAATTTGATTTTTTATGTATTTGTTATGTTACTTCATACACATATATATGGAACTTTTCCTCTTTTCATTATGTAATCTAGCACCCATTTGCTTCTTTATCTCCTATTTTATAAGAACATTTTTTTTCATCTTAAAGTTTCAAAAGACGAGCCTTAAAATTGAATAAGGAATTGAGTTTAGGATGGAAATGGAAAGTGGAAACCATGTAACATGAACTGTTAAGAAAATCCGAGATGGGATATCTTTCAAAGAAAATGAATTTTAATATAATGAGAAAGAAGAATGTACGAAATTGTTGTGACAAAACATCTTTTATAAAAATAAATGTAAGATGACATAATTATCTTTTTATCAATTTGTTCCCCGTGGGTATCATATTCTTATTTCACATTAAGAAAACACATCCAAACATCCGATAGTTGCTAGGTGACATTTGATATAATGAAATATAAATAAAACAAAAATCTTACAAACTAAATTAAGCTATATGTATTAATTGTCACAAAATAAACTTGGGTTACAAACTTACTCAAAGTGGAGTGTTTGCATTTTGTATTAAAACTAAACCAAAACAATAAAACTAAAAATACATTAGTTATTTAAGATGACAGTGCATTATGCACTTACATATACTTCAACATGCCTTCTCATATTTTGTTCTAATACGCATATGCCGCATTTGTTCTATTTGCCTTATGATTTATATGAGAAGGTTAAACCAATAATGAAATATAACAATTTTAACACGTATCACTTACAAGTTGCAATATCTACCTTTTCAAAATAAGTTTGCATATACATACATCATTATATACATTTCATTTTTACTAAAACTAGTTGTAATCATATATTACAAAACACTATTACTTCACATTACGATAATAGAAGTCGGTTTGTATTGTTTGAAAAAAAAAATAGTATGTAAACAAGAAACAACCTTAAACCCTAATTATCTATTACAAAACTATCTTCTAATTTAATTTCCATGGACCAATGGTATATATGTCATTTATCAACACCTCGTGCTATTACACTAATCTGTAAAATAATATTTTGTGTAAATTCCAATGACAATCTCACGCATTCTCACATACAAGCTAAAAAGACACAAATACCCTTGATATCAATACCCAAATGTTAAGTATAACAACCTACTTCCAACTTCTCCAACCACACAATTGCATTCATTCTCACCTAGACGCTTAAAAGACAAAAACACCCCTCACATGATATCAATAGATCAAAGCACACTTTATGGCAAGAATTCAATAAAAGTTGCCTGTTGAAAAAGATGGTCTTAATTTCTATAAATTAGAGTGAAAGTATGAAAACATCACCTCATAATTTGATATCCTCCTCTCAATTTCACACACACATTCCAAAAATGGTAAGTCTTCACTTAACTTTACCAACATCATCTTATTATATTATATTCATACTTGATAGTCGATACTACAACTAATTCATGTTTAAATTCACCATTTTAGCAGGTTTGTTCTACTTCTACAAATGAGAATGAAGAAGAAGAATGTGTAGATTTCAAAGGGAATCCTGCTGACATGTCCAAAACAGGTGGATGGGTTGCAGCTGGACTGATTTTAGGCACTGAACTTTCAGAGAGAATCTGTGTGATAGGAATAGCAATGAATTTAGTAACATATCTCCATGGATCTTTGCATCTTTCTTCATCAAAATCTGCAAATATTGTCTCAAACTTAATGGGCACTCTCAATCTTCTTGCCCTTTTTGGAGGATTCATAGCAGATGCTAAAATCGGTCGTTTCTTAGCCATCCTTATCTTTTCATCTATTTGTGCTCTCGTAAGTTTCCAAATGACCATTTTACCCTTCAATTCCATTAACATCATTAAGTAAAAAAGAAACATCCCCTATGTTGAATTGAATTTGAATTTTGAACCAGGGTATGGTGTTACTGACACTAACAACCACCATCCACCGCCTAAAGCCACCATCATGTGACACCTCAGGCGGTTGGAAATGCATAGAAGCCACCGGAAGTCAACTGGCTATGCTCTACATAGCACTTTACATGGTAGCACTGGGTGGTGGTGGGATAAAGTCAAATGTCTCAGGGTTTGGGTCTGACCAGTTTGACAAGTCAACACCTGAAGATGAAAAGAAAATGGTTTACTTTTTCAACAGGTTTTATTTCTGTGTCACTATTGGATCTCTTTTTGCTGTGACTGTATTGGTTTATTTACAAGATAAAAAGGGTTGGGGGGTGGGGTATGGGGTGTCTGCTGGGACTATGGGTATAGCTGTCTTTTTGCTGTTGTGTGGGACCCGGTTTTATCGGTATAAAAAACCAAAAGGAAGTCCTTTGAGTGTTATATGGAGAGTTGTGTTTTTGGCATGGAAGAATAGGAGATTGTCTTACCCTAATCATCCTAGTTTATTGAATGGCTATGATTCCTCAAAAGTTCCACACACTGAGAAACTCAGGTAAATCAAATTTCATATGGAAGAAGAATTTATAATCATCTTTGAATTTATAAATTATGTGGTGGTATATATCTATATAGGTGCCTTGACAAGGCTGCAATAATGGCAAGAAATGAAGAAAATGATGATTTATGGATAGTTTCAAGTGTAACTGAAGTTGAAGAAGTCAAAATGGTTATAAACCTAATCCCAATATGGTCAACAGGGATCCTCTTCTGGACAATTTACTCTCAGATGAATACTTTCACAGTAGAACAAGCAAACATCATGAACAGAAAACATGGAAGATTCAACATCCCTCCAGGATCATTCTCCTTCTTCCTCTTCATATCCATTCTCCTATTTACCTCCCTTAACGAAAGGGTAATTGTTCCTTTTGCTCAAAGGATCACAAATTATCCAAAAGGTCTCACAAGTCTTCAAAGAATTGGAATTGGCCTTGTGTTTTCAGTAGCAGGAATGGTGGCTGCTGCCATTTGTGAGATAAGAAGGAAATCAGACATGAAAAATGGTGTCAAAACGAATGCTTTTTGGTTAGTTCCTCAGTTTTTCTTGGTGGGTGCTGGTGAAGCTTTTGCTTATGTTGGTCAACTTGAGTTTTTCATCACAGAAGCACCTGAGCAGATGAAGTCAATGAGTACAGGTTTATTTCAAACTACTTTAGCTATGGGGTTTTTTGTGAGTAGTTTGTTGGTGTCATTGACTAACATGGCAACTCATGGGAACTGGCTCAAGAACAATTTGGATCAAGGGGAGTTGAATAACTTCTACTGGATGCTTGCAATTCTTGGAGTGTTCAACTTTTTCGGGTTTTTAATCTTGGCATCTAGACACCAGTATAAATCACAGCATTATGAAAAGGAGATTGAGACAAGAAGGATTGATGACATATAGCCATATAGGAAATGAATCAAAGATGTAAGCGTTATTGTAATTTGTAAAGAAAGAAGCCAAATAGCATATAATGTATATAGGATGAGAAAGTAAGAAAGTAAGAAACCATTCTCTACTAAAAAATATCATGAAAATGGTACATTATGAACTATTTCAATAACTAGAAAAGGAGAAAGATATAATATCTTCAAGAAACAATGGAGTTTCTTCCATTTGATGCGTAATTTCAAGCACTTGTTGGAAGATGGGTGACAATCAAAGGTGGACGAAGTGCACTCTGTTTTTCTTGCTCTTGCGTGCGTGCTTTGAACATTTCTTCAGTCTCGATTACAACCAATCTTTTAACCTTTGTTCAGGACTAGATTTGTTAATTTAGAAAGTAAGAAGATGTGAGATTTTGATGAAAATGGAAGATGTTTGAAAACCTGTTGAAGCATTCCTCTGAGAGTAGGAGTATTCCATCGCATGACAGTTCTGTTGCATTTCCCAAGACGCAATGCTTCTAAGGTACGCCTGTGAAGTTTTCGTGTTCCTGGAATGCCCCTGACTAGAGTTATGTAGAGGTTAGGGCTCCATGCGATTGGAGCACATGCTTTGTAAGCCTTGTAAGCATTCATCTTTCTTCTTCCTACACATAAGATTTACATCATTACAACACCTAATGACCTAATCAACAAGCAATCACTCCTTATCGATTACAGAAAATGTGATGTGTTGTTAGTTGTAGTAATTGTTAATTGTAGTTGTGAATTCTTTTGCTTAAACATATTGATTTTGTAGTTGCGATGTGGTTTTCGACTCTTGATTCTACGTGAGCGCTATTGATAATCAAGGTGGCATTTCTACAAACAGTTTGGGGGCATAAGGCATTCGACAAAAAAATGATCAGGCCTCATCATATACATAGAGTAAGTGAGTAACTAAACAACAAACTCGTTAAATTTTAATCATGATTGAATAAGCCTAGTTTCCAACAAACAGAAATCAATTCCACCCGAATACGAGAACCAAAAAAAAAAAAAATATATATATATATATATATATATATATATATATATATATATATATATATATATATATATATATATATATATATATATAACGGATGAGGGAGTGGGGGAGGAACCTGAGAGAGCGCTGCAATAAGAAAATACAAGTCAGGTCGCCGCCGACGGGAAGATCAACACTTTTGGTGGACGGTGGTAATAGCCTAATAGGTAACGCTGCAAACAATGTATTTTGTAGTTAACTAGGGGTATCATGTAAATGAATTAATGAAAGGCATAAAAATGATGGAAATAAAAAGTTATAAGAAACAAATTTTGTAATAATAAACTTGTAAAAAAAGACATCTATATCTATAACTCTTTTGAAATGTCACTAGTCCTTTCTAGAGCTTATTCCTGTTATATAACAAATTTATACACATTGAAATAAAAATTTTCCCGCCCATACAATAATTCTTCTTTGAATGCCTTAAAATCAAGAACTAAATTTTGAAACAATCTATCATATCACAATAAATCACGAATCTAATGCCTTAAAATTAGGAACAGATTTAGAAACAATTATTTATAAGGTGCTTTCTGACGTATGTGTATGTTTTTTCAAAGTATGCAAAGGATGTTTGAACGAAGCCTACATAAATAAGGTGTTCAATTAAAGGTTTAAGTTATCTCTTAATTTACCCATTCTATCTAATCTTAGACATTACATGAAATGTTGACAATATGAAGAATAGGAAATGTTTTCATTTTTGTGTGTTGGTGATTATACAGGTTCAATGATACAACTATTACTAGGTCAAGTTGGTTTGGTTATTGGGGATCAAATGTTGTCAATATGAAGATATGTAGTTGTTGGGGGTAGTATGATATGAATTTACGAAGCAAAATCACACTAAAAAAAGGTAAAACAGAAAGATATTTATGGATTGGGTTGTTCATGGTTGAGCTAAGATTCACCCTCTACTAACCAATTGGTTTGATGGAATCTAGTCACACGCCATACCTTCAATAAGCTCTCTCACATGTCTCTTTCTCAACTCAATTGTGCACATAATCTTGGACCGATCAGAGCACCAACTTACAACACCCTGTCATGGTGACGTGTAACCACGGTGGTGCGGTGAACTCGACACCGACCAGGGGTCGGGACTACAATAAGACCACCGCACGAAGGAGTTTCACAACACTAATTTTTTAATATTTTCTCTTAACTGTTTTTTAACATATATATTTATAAAAATTTGTTTTTTTTTTTCCTTTAATATAAATAAAGACTCCTACTTCACATTTTAAAACACACATTAAACACCAAAAACTTATATAGATTTTTACTTCATATGTAACGCTTGGTTCATGTATGAGATTGTTCTTCAAATTGGTTGTATTTTCCTTTGGGACTCGGCGAGTTGGAAGCTCCAACTCGTCGTGTCGAGAGGGCGTTGGCCGCGTGTCACACCCCCAAACCGGAGCGACGGAAACATCCGAGGGTGGATGACTTCATGTTAAGTATCACAACACATGCATCATAGTAATCAAAGTACAACAACCATTGCATTTATAAAGTAAAATTTGTACATGTGTGTTCAATCATTGTATATTGACACCAAAAGAGATATATACAAAAGATAGAAAACATGACTTTGTACTGCTCATGTCTTCTCAAAAATCCTGGGAAAGTACCTATCTACCGGTTCCATGAGAATACAAGTATTTTGAAAAGAAAGTATCATCATTTAAGTTGGTGAGTTCATAATCATGTTTGTAATTGAAAATCTGTCATTCGTTCCTTGAAATCGTAAGTATGTTTTTCCCAGAAAATCTCATATTTTTTGATGTAAATGTTTTGTAGTCTTGATGCCCTAAGGTTGAAATATTTAATTGATATTGTACTCTGTAATAGTATATTGTAGTTTTAATTCACATAAAACTATGAAATGTATATTTTCTCTGTACTAGTATAGTATTATGTAATTGTACTCTTAGAAAACCATGTAAATGTGAGTGTGCTTGACTCCACTAGCTGTAATTATAAATTATAATGTAACATTGTAAATTGTATTATTGTAAAACCACTACTTTGTATTCGTACTCTTTGGTTTAATTATTTATACACTAACATATTGTTTAGTATCTTTTTGTGAGTTATCATAACTATACTAAGACTAGATGCCCTGCTATAACGCTTTGAAGGCGTCGGAACTGTAACGACATTTGTCACTCGTATGCATACCAGCCTAACTATAGCGACCAATCTAAGTGCAGGATTGTCAATCCCGTATAGATCTATACTGATGTGGTGTTATTTAAGATGGCATGTGCGGAATATGAAAGATCTAGTGAATCAACATGTAAAATCAAGAACACAAGGAGTAAATAAATCTGTGTAAGCTCATATTAGATCTAGAAAGATTATACAAATGGGTTTGTACACAATTTCTCTCTAGTCTAACACTCCAAATGGTTCCTTTCATAAAATGAGTGTCACTCACTTCCTTATAAAGGAAAGGCAACTCATTACACACACAAGTGGGTAAAGCCTCATCCAAGCATAACTTTTCACCCTAACATTCCCCCCCTCAAAGTTAGGATTGGATGCCCCGACTTCAGTATCCAACGAGCTAGCGCGATCAAGACCAAACTCCCCCTCGAAGTAACACCGGTCAAAGCATTAGGACTTTAATAGTATTGCTTAAATGAATAAGTGACTGAAATTTGTCTCACAAAAAACATATTGATAATTATGTGTATAATAATGAAAAGCTACTTTGTAATAGATAACCTGTAAGCTTTTCTCATAAACTATATATATCATAGTTTATATGTTTGTTTTCTGTAATGTAATTTGAACTTTGTAAAATAGTATGTTTGAATCATAAACTATACATATTATAGTTTATATGTTTGTCTCTGTATTATAAGTTGAAATTGTAAAATAGTATGCTTGAATAATAAACTATACATATCATAGTTTATATTTTTGTCTCTGTATTATAAGTTGAACTTGTAAAATAGTATGCTTGAATCATAAAGTATACCTATTATAGCTTATATGTCCGTCTCTGTATTGTAATCATCAACTGAAAACTATTGATTTTTAACACATGATTTTATACTTATATAAATATAATATTTATATAATTTTGATTAAACAGACAATCGAATAAATAATTCTATACCAAGCCCACAACCAAACAATGAACAGGAAATGGAGTCAAACCATCAATTATAAGCCTGTTGAACCCTAATTATATAATTTATACATACATAAACATATAATTTCATTGATAGCAACAATTAAATAAATATTGAAAACATTTATATTTTAACACACAAATATTTTTGTTTTAAACTTGTATTTCTCCCCTTAAAACAGTGAAAATTTATTAAAAAGTTGGGGTATGAACTCACTTGATGAGTGGTGATTCGGGTAGTGTTTCGTTTCTAGGAATGATTTTTCTTGACGAAACCGCAAGTTTCTGATGAAAAAACGGTCTTTACGCGGGCAGAGTTTCGACTAGAAAATATTATTTTCTCGAGGACTTCGGGGCTGTTGGCTTTCTTCGAGTGTTAGGGGATATTCTAGGCTTCGGGGTTTAAAATAGCTTGAAAGGGTGTTTAAGATGAGAGAGAGGTTGAAAATTGTAAACCAAACCCAGAGGCCTCACATCCTATTTATAGGAGGCTGAGGTCCAGTATTACGCTAAGCGTAATTCCTTGGTACGGTGGGCATACTAATGTGAACCTCAGTACGCTGGACGTACGTCTCGTACACGGGGCATACTAATTTGATCCTTATCCGAACTTTGGACGTGGCGAGGCTACGAGATACGCGTCAAGGCTAGTCCGATTATGTTGGGCGTAATCTTTTTGTACGTTGAGTGTAGTGGCTACGTGGCTTCAAACGTGTCAATGATGTGAGATACGTGTTGTATGAGAAGAAGGAGACAACGTGTAACACCCCAAAGTTTGGAAAGCCAAGAAAAGAAAGAAAAC